ACTCAGACTGTGCTCAACCACAAACTGTTGCGGTTTTGGAGCGTCTCTGCAAGATGGTCAAGAACTTGGAGAAACTGGAATCCGTGCTCAAATATTGACAGAAATCACGGATTTGGCTGATCGACGCCACTAAAGAGACATAAGCCACGGACTCAAGGCTGTCTTAAATTCTTGGGCAGCCTGCTACCAAAACAACATCTGCTATCTCGACCTTCCCCTGATGAAAGTATGCACGGAAGCTAGTCCCCCACCATCACCCCCTCCTTCATACACTCCCTTGTATCACCGTCTTCATTGTTTATGTCTTGTGACCTGTTGTAACTGTCATATGCTTGTGCAGGAGTTTTTTGCCTAACTCAAATTATCCTCAAAATGAGGATAGTTCGAGCGTGTTTTTTTTTTCTCCCCCTCTCCCTCCCTTGTGGTTTCTTTCTGACTTCCGGGTTGAGTGAACGCTGGCGCGTTTTGGCTGCCGCTGCTCAACCCGCATTGTTCTGTGTTTTTTGTTATTGTAAAGTGTCCTTGGGTGTCTTGAAAGGCGCTTATAAATAAAATGTATTATTATTATTATTAGTAGTAGTATTTTCAAGATATTGCTTGAAAAATGTTGACACCCCAAAACTACAAATATACATGTAAGCATTGTACAATTTTGGGTGGCACTCACATAATAACGTAAAATTTTCCTGCATTCGCTGCATAGAGGCTAATTAATTTGGATTAATTTTCCATTAGATGTCTTATGAAAAGGGAATTACTCCCACGTCCCTGTCTTTCTGGGTTTAAAACATCATTTGTGCCGCCTTTCTTCATGTTCTTCATCCTCTTCTTTTTCATGGTTCACTTCTTCCACTTTATCAGTTTGTTTTTCTGAGCCCTGAATGGGAAAAGTCAAAAGGCAACTATTCTACTCAGAAACATCAAATAATAGCAGTATGAATGATAATGAAAATATTAAATAATAACAATAAGAGGAAAACTAATGGTTTAGGATTTTACTGTGGTTCACTATTTCATACTGACTGTAATCAGAAGCTACTCATTTTTTCTTGTGGAGCTAAATATAGAAAACAAATATGGAACCCCAGTACCAAAGGACTACATTTACTTCCTAATGTTAGTTTTTCAGATGAAACTTTGATGAAGTATTGCTTGCTAATTTAGGAGATGTCTGAGATTAAAAGCACCCCCCTCCCCCCCCCCACACACACACATATGTAGCCAGGGATGTGTTATAAATGATTTAAAGGTCTTGAAATGAGGCCTCATGTACAATAGAACATGGATGTCTTAATTTCTGAATTTTAAACTGTCCTGTATGCCTAATTAAAAAAAAAAGGTCCTCTGCCTTGGAACAGGAGCCCTTCATAGGAGTTTCAGTCAAGCCTTCTTCAGAGTGAGACTCTAACCAAAAGCAGATTTGCATAGTTAACCTGTGACTCATATATTTATATATATCTATATATCTATAT